ATCATTGAACTAGTCTTTCGACTTCATGTTTAGCCACAGTATGGCTAGACTTTGAACTTTAGTCTTTAAAGATGTTAACAAGCCCGTTAACATTTAAAAAAATCAACTCAAAAGTTAATCCGTTAATCGAAAACTTAACTTCATTCTTGTACTAAGCTTTTGTTGGAACTATTTGTGTAGGTATAGTATGTAATTAGTTAGTCCAGGATACTTATATATTACGGCTATATACGAATGAAATATTAAAATGAGTAAAGGGAACTATAAAAAGGAAATAACAGGTCTCTCGAGCTTTTCCTCGGAAACAGATGTGATATTTTTGTATGTACCAAATGATTGCCAGATGACTGTACATTTTAGGATATATGAATTTAAATAGATGAATAATATAGATATAAATAAAATAAAAGTAGTTGTACTTACACTGGATATCAACTAATATTTATTGAATAACATTTATTAAATTTACTCCTGAGGGCCGAATATGGACACACGCCTATACAAATCTCACGAGTCCTTGGTCGGCAAACGTACAATACTCGCTGCAGAGCTTGAGCTGGATTGAGCTTGGAGATTGGAAGACAAGGCCATATTAATTCTGTTGGACTTATGCTATGGGCTAGCTGCCTGGAAAGAGTCCTTAAGCAAACCAGCAGATCAGCAACCACAGGCAAAAATAAATTTTCATATTATGTTAGTAGGTATCTCCACATGGGCACGCCGTTATCGCTGCGGTAAGACCCGTTATGGAGGATTGGCTCGAGAGGCATCACGGAACCCTCTCATACCGGTTGACGCAGGTGATCACTGGGAAAGGATGCTTCGGAGATTACCTGTGTCTGATGCGCAAGGAGCCAAGGCCTGAGTGAAACCACTGCGATGGCCGGACCGTGGACACAGCGCTCCATACGCTGGCAGAATGCCCGGCGTGGGAGGAGCAGAGGCGTTGCCTCGTGGCGGCCATCGGAGTGGGAATTCTCACGCTCGGTAACATGATTGCCGCCATGGTACGGAGCGAGAGTTCGTGGAACTCCGCCGTCTCCTTCTGCGAGCCAGTTATGCTTGCAAAGGAGATGGCGGAGCGAGACCAGGAGAGGTTTAGAACTCTCACGGGGGTGGTAGGTGAAGCCATCTGTCACCCTAGCAGAAGCAGGCCTGGATGGTGGCGAGACGCGATTGGAAGCGCGCCCGCCCTTTTGGGAGCACAAAGGGGACATAGGGGGTTCCCACACAGGAGGGGGTCGAGGTACGTCGGGGTATCAGGGTTTTCCTTCCTAGGGTACACCTGGTTCCCCGGCAACTGGTACGCGAGATGGCGTGCGGTTTTTGGTCGGTTCGAGTCCGACATAACCACCGGTGGGTGGTAACCAAGGGGATTTCCGCACAAATAAAAATGTATCTCCACAGTTAAAGTTACTTGAATCATTTTGTAGAACATGAGTATATAAATGCGTAACTATGCTTTTAGATATTTTTGCGTCAGTTTAATGAAGACTAACTATTGTTTGTTGTATATATTTAATTAGAACCAAAGATATGATTCAGGGAAAATAACACTCAACTCCGTACTCAACGTACCTACTTACAATGTAATGACGTATTTTATATTACACGTCATTATCACTGCTTGTTATTATTGGCTAGAAGCTGTAAGTACCTACATCTAGTACTTCTATCCTAATAATTATTGTTTTTCTAAACTAAACTTTTTAGCTAACTTGTACCATAGACTAAAAACGGATACATATCTTGTTAATGATTTATATTATATACATAGATAGACTTATACCAATATAAGTAGCGTGGACATATCTATACAAATAAATAAAATTGGAGTGTCTGTTTGTAATATTAAAGTAACCGCTTTTTACTAAATGCATATGTATGTTTACACGGTAGGTACATATGCCAAAATAACATTTTTTACAATTTTTGTCCGTCTGTCTGTTTGTTCCGGGTAATCTCTGGAACGGCTGGACCGATTTCGACGGGACTTTCACTGGCAGATAGCTGATGACATAAGGAGTAACTTAGGCTACTTTTTTTAGACTAGCTTCGCCCCGCGGAGTTCCCGCGGTTATAACAACAAACGCGGGTAACACCGCGGATCTCAGCTAGTCTATAAATATTTGCATAAAGCTTGAATCAAACCCGCGTCTATAACTGATGCAGTCTGAGCCACAGCTGACTACACAATCGAAGTCTAAACGAGTTGGCGTCATTCATAGTAATTTTGGTTAAGGTATACTCCTGAGTGTATATGGTCTTACTGCCTTATAGAGATTTTCTATTATAAATTGTGCAGGACAACAGCAGGACAATTTTGGATTACATATACAAATTAGCAAACATGATCAACAGCCTTTAAATAGTCCACTGCTGGACATAGGCCTCTCCTTACAAAGGAGGTTTAGGCCTACTATAACACGCTGGCCAGACAGGTTGGTATAGGGTTCTTACGACACCCCACGGGGTGAATAGTGGTGGTGACACACTGTATTCTTAATCCGTCACCGTCACCGTACTGATAACGTTTACTATAATTCGTAGTATTTGATTGTGTTCCGTGTGAAGTGACCTCATCATTTGCCTCTCGCATACAAGGTAACATGAACCTGGCAATTAATAGACACCTTACTAAATAGAGTACCGTCGCACAACTCATTTATAATCGTCTTTGGACGTTAATGTGACTCAGTAGTAATTTCATGTCAATTAGTCTAACGCGTTAGTCCTTTATGTTATCTTCTGTCAATTCTTTTTGTTTCCGCTACTGTATTTTTAAGGATAAGGTATGGTTTCTTAATATACAGATCATAGAAATAGGTACCCTGTATGAGGATCGACATTAAACTTAAAGTATCACCATTACGGTAACCGGTCACTCAAAGTAATTCACCTTTACGAACATTTAATTTTCCCTTTTTTTTAGTTTATGGATTTGTCACATAAACTAGCATTCATTAAAACTCGCTGACTGACTTAATACCACCTGATGTGGGGAAAAACTCCCTGCCTAGCTTTTGTTGATTCGCCTGGTGACTAGCGCTACTAAAGTTCCACAAAAGTGAGTAATAGGATTTTCATAGCATTAGTTACCTAGTTTAATTTCATGCCGTGTCTTTAAGAGGAACACAAAGCATTTGCCTAAGAATTTTACCTGTCTTTCAATTTTCTAGGTAGGTAAAGTTCTGTCTGTTCTGTGATCGCAAGAAAAACTAAGTAAACTGTTAAACGTTTTAATGAAATTTTTACTATTGTATACAATTCAGTAACTCTATTTTCATATGAAACATATTGCTGAGTTTTAAAAAGACAAAGCCCGTTAGGTACTAAAAATATATCACACTCGGTTTCTCAATCTAAACTAATATTGATCAATATAATTTGTAACTCGCAGAGCTGTCAGTTAAGTCAGGTGAATAGGATCTGTTCAGAGTTTCTGAAAAATACTCACACAGTTATTCACAGAGAAAAATACTTCGTTAATTCAAATGTCTTGTAATAAACTTTACAAATCCAATGATCAATTCATTGTCAGACCATCCTTACAGTAAGTCAATTTAAAAATGACTAAAGATTTAACATACATAATGATCAGTTACGTTGATCAGCTTTTTACAAACCAAGCGTTAGTGTAAATGTTTGGAAATCGAACCCCTGAAAAGTTGCTTAACAATTGCTTCAAATGTGTAGTTGTTTGTCTTATTAATGTTATATTACTATCACACTAACGTACCCAAAGAATGGTCTAAATAGGAATAAAAATGGTCTACCAGCAGAAATCTTTGACCCAGAAACCCTCGGTTTGCCCTAGAACAGAAGGTCAATTCTCGTAATAAAACTTCGTTCCAAATTCAGTTCCGATTTACTTTCGATGTCACAAATAGTATTCTCGTAGTAAAGTATTAAACATCCAACGTTAGCTGTAATTATATTGTGTTGTGATTGAAAGTTGAATCGGGATTCTGCTAGTCCTTAGTAACATTTTACCGCGAGAATATCATTTGTGAAATTTGTGAGATCGGAACTGAATTTCAAATATCAAAACGAAAGCATAATCTCGGACCGGAAAATTGTCAAATTCATCCTATTCGAATATGAAATAATTAAAGTAATGCTTACATAGCACAGATACCGTTATCAGAAACTCTTGATACATATATCGATAAAATGTTGAACGCAACTTATTCAAGATTAATTTTGGCACATTATGCAATGTCTGTCATTACGTAGACACCGATTGTAATGTTTTTTTTTTCAATTTTGTCGTTTTACGAAACGTATGTTATTAAATAATAAATCGTTCCCATTGGTCGCGCTCTACAACGGAAATATTTACAATGCTGGATACAATTGCTGACTTGGAAAGTTTTTATTTTTTCTTAAGTTAATCACAAATTTACCTATATCTTATCTAACTGACATTCTAAATAACTGTAGTCATGACAAAGCTTACTGAAATCTATTACGCATAATTTTCTACGAAATAAAAAATACTAACAACCGTTAGTATTTAATTTTGGTATCGGTACCTAGTAATTAATTTCGTAGACTTGTTGGTCGGTAGCGAATCTTCAAAAACTTGTGAAACTGATTTAGCAAAAAGTATGTACACTAGGTACTTCTAATAAAGAAATATAAAAGGTGCTCCACTACATCTGTCACATGATATTTATGACTGAAGACATAGCGGAATGTGCGATCATAGGTCTCAAGTTGTTAGATCACAAGTCTGATGAAATCTTAAGGTACCTGTAAATCAATGAATAAAAAATCTGTTACTCAGCAACTCGCGTATTAAGTTTATAAAATATTTTAACTTAATACTCTAGTAATAGAACTTGTAATGAATTAAATCTGTCAAGGTCAAGAACAACTGTTTATGATTAATCCCAGGTTGTTTTTTTTCTATGTAAATATATAAACCTGTATGAGCGACATCACTTCTGATGACATCACTCTTATAACATTAATTCTAACAAATATGTTTTTCACAGGATCCAGCGTTGGATTGTTATACATTGGAAAGCGAGGCCAGGAAGTTAGACAGCACACTCACCCACAGTCTGCCACCGCTGAACGACAGTTACGACTCTTCCAAATAAAACCAAACATTCCCACAATCGGCGATATTTACCAATAACAAGCTGCCAACGCTCCACTAAAAAGCTAAACAATTAAATTACAAATGGTGTCATTTATACTCGAGCCTGTTCCAGTGTTCATTTCAGGTACATACCTACCTAATTGGAGGTTACCGCGTAAATTAGCTCACAATAGATAATTACCAATGCTATTTCCTTGTCGTTTTTTTTTTATCAACGACTGTGAAACAATGTTATCTATTTTTAGTATTGTTCGAAAATCCTCCAAAAATGGTAAAGAGGCACCACTCGCAATACAAATATGGTACGGTGTCTGGTCCTGCGAGGGCGATATTTTTGGATTCTTGATTAAAAATGTAGCATTCGGAAAACGGGCTTCTGTTTGTTTTAAAGTATAGCTAAATTCCATTGTACTTATCTGTACATGTGTTGTCGTCATTATCGCTTGCGTATCAACAGACGCATGTTACGATAGAAGTCTTTATTGTATTAGTAGACATGTGTAGCATTCGTTTTATAAACATTTTGGGAATTAAACTCGAAATGATAATTATATTAGTAGCATTTAGGCGGTCGGTTTTTGCGATTCTTCTAGGAAAGAATGATTGTGCACGATTCACGAGTTAGAATAATTTGTCATTTAGCTGTGATTTGTTTGATAACAGCTGTGAGTCAATGCGTCTTGAGCGATGAATCACGCTGGGGTCAGTTCAAAGACCGGAAATGTAGAGGAAGCGATTTTTTAAGGCGAATGACTCAATGGCGTCTAAAAGTGAGATTATGCGTAAATGGTACTATGTAGTACGTTTTTTTATGAACTACCGGATACGATTGTATTTTAACAGAATATTACGTAAACTGCTCTGAATTATTACGGACGTTTATGTATTTAGACGTAACATTTAATTGGAATAACGTACTTATGTATTACAAAGACGGTTCTAGTCATTTTGTTTTTGGTGAGTTTTAATGGAAGTTTCCGTAGGTAATGAGCAGCATGATATGGCATTAGTACGGAAATTTAGTGATGTTACCTGTTTCAGTGTTCAACTTCCTCTAGTCATTTATATTTTTAAGGACCAATTCGTAACTATTGCAAATGATATTTCTTTTTACTCGAGTTATGTACCAGTTTCGTAACATGTATAACTGACGTCAATCCTTTAATTGATGACATTAAATATCTTAAATTTATTCCAAGTGTTTACAAAAAAGAATTATAGTTATTCATTATTAGGAAGACTTCTCAGTTTGATATAATACATAATATCTATTGTGTGGTTACGCAACTTTTTATACTAAATATAAGAATCACCTTATGACTAGTCATTAGAATATTAAGACTAATGTTCAAAGATAAATCCATTTAAGACTTTATTGCAATTAAAATATTTGTGTAATAACAAATGTATGGGCACTTAGGTATTTAATTATCACGTTTTCCGCCTCAACGAGTTACGGTAATTGTGTTATTAAATAAACTATTCGCGTCAGACAAAGTACATATTTAAAGAACACAATGGAAACTACAATAAAGGGTTTTTCTAAAATATTCTAGTAAATGTTTCAATAATAAAATGAGTATTATGTATTGTAAAACACTTCACGCTTTATCAAAAAGGGGGCGAGACAGTATAGCTATCACTGTTTCATTATTCAACAGACGAATACCACGGATATCGCTTATCAAATTTTATGAGTATCAAAAAGTAAATTGTTGATGATAAATTTACTTGCACCTAACATTTGGCTATTATTACAATAGGGAAACAAACCATCTGACCCTGCAGTCTCGTTAGACAAGCAGACAGAGCCTAAGATAACACTAATAGCATACAATTTAGTTACACTAAAGACAACACTAAACAGACCTATGATATACTCTTACTCGCTCGCTTTGACATTCAATTTTAAATTTAGCAATAATTATAGTAAATATATTTTTTACTGTCAATACACCCCAGAGTGAGCTCGATCTATGCATTAGACCTTGTTTCACATCATGGGTTGTGTCACAAGCAACCTAAAAAGCAATGTAACCCAACACTTGTTTTGCCTCATAGATTGGATTGCTTAGTTATCAAGTTCATATAGATATTAAGTTTGGCGTATTGTGTTCATTTCCACTGGACTGTGTCAATTCTTATGTTACTAGAATGTCGACATATGCCCGCAACATCACACTGCCATATATTTTATCGTGTTTGTAAGGGTTAATCAATATTGTAATGAGTAAAAACACATTTATGTAACTTTTTTACACCCATGAAGTCAATAAAATTTTGTAGATGGTATATGGTTGTTTCAATTAGCTAAATTCCATTGAAATTCCGAGCCAATTGTCGTTTATTCGATAGACGGTGGGGGTACGGGCGTGCGGGCGTGTGGGATGTGAGTCATCACGACGCGACCTCGATTGACATCACGGGAGCGCCGCCCGCGGCCACGCACGCATCAACAAGGGGACAAAACATACCCCAATGCACAATGAACATATTAAATTGGTTTTATTGATGCAAAAAAAATTAAATTAATAGATTATTGTACATGTCCATTATTGATTGAAAGATAAAAAATATACAAGTTCTTACTCTCCACAGTATATATATAAAAATATAATTTAACTCAGATCAAGTCATATCCAATATCCTTGTGCAGTAAATATTACAAGTTAACAGCAAAGAGAGCTGAGGAAACATCTAATTCTGTAACAATATTTGAACACCTATATATTTATTAAGTTTAACAAACTTCTAGCAGCAAAACATAGGTTGATAAATTTATATTTAAATGGCCAGTAATAATAAAACTTTATTTCATTTACAATAACGATAAATTTCTTATTTCTCAATTTCATAGGTTAGGGGTTTATATCATAGTATTTTGTGGCAGCCTGTGGTGAACAATTATTACACAAGGCATTGAGGGCACCACGGGTTAACACTGGAATCTCTAAGGTCACAGGGTGCAATCACCTAAGGCTCTCTAATATTTGTTCAAAAGTTACCGAATCCTAAACTCACATTATCAACTCTTTACTTGATAAATTTGAATTATATAACAAGACAATAATATATCTGAAAAAATTTAATGTATCCTTAATTCACATATTTAAACATTACATACTGGTTCGGGCCTGCTGGCACAATAGCATCGACTCATCGGAGCCTGCATCTACTCTCACACAGCTCAGAAGTTTCAGCCTCTCCCTTTATCAGTATGATTAGATAACTACTAAATGGTAAACTATATCTATATTAGGTGCAGACAGTTACGTAGTACAACTATATATCACTTTAAATGCAGTCACTTTTACATTTTGTAAATGACACTATGACATTGGCAACACTACAGTGGAACCATGCAAGTTAATTTATGGCAAATTGGTGCACATTCATGTTACTGTCCAACAATACTCCTGAATGCTGTCTGTACCTAACATTGTTAATAATTTTTATTATTAAAACAAAAATATTTTAGTATCTTTTCATATATTTGAAAATCATAATTAACTAAGAGATAATGAGAAGTACATGCTTAGAATCATTCAGCGGAAAGTAGTGCCACATTTGAAACTTAATAAGAAATTAATTGTATTGTCACAGTATTTTCTAGAATGTACTCCTCATCTCAAAATAAATGAATATGGTTTATACTTACATCAAGTAGTAATTAATTTTATAACCATTTACAACTTCTGAACCTAACGGCATCCACACGTTACAATTGGAATTTCAAGAGTGAAACACACACAGAATCCTTGATTCTATCCTTCAATATTATAACTATCAATATATAGACAAGAAAGAATTCAGAGATTACAGCAATGTTCGGACAGGTAGAGGATATCACCAGCAACGCTCTGTGGGTTTTCCACTCATGCTACGGCACTTCATCACATTAACTCAACAAATGCACATTCTCGAAATGCTACAGGTATGATTACCAAGCAACTCAACACCCGACCTAATTAATTTTGGGAACAGTCGAGAGCCAATTCCGGGTACAAGAAGTCTTTCAAATTATTAAATATTTTATACCTAGACGCGTTGGAGGCTGAGGCGGCACTCTTACAGAATTACACATTTCACCTTTCCTTTGGTTTTGGTTTCCTCTTTTTTAGGTGATTTCCTGTTGATCTGTCGCACTAGATCATAGAATACATCGTTCACATGAATTTTAGCCTTCGCCGAGGTCTCCATGAAGGAGCAGTTGAAGTGGCGGGCGAGATTACTGCCCTGTTCTTTGCCAACCACGCGCTCCGCTTCCAGGTCCGTCTTGTTGCCGACCAACACCATGGGTACATCGTCCTTGTCTTTTACTCGTAGGATTTGCTCTCGCAAGTCCTGTAGATCGTTAAACGTTGATTGTGCGGTGATCGAGTATACTAAGACAAATCCTTGGCCGTTCTTCATATACAAGTCTCTCATCGCTGTGAATTGTTCCGTACCAGCCGTGTCCAGAATTTCAAGCATGCACTGTTGTCCATCAACTTCCACCTGTTTCCGATAGCTGTCCTCGATGGTGGGGTCGTATTTCTCGACAAAGATGCCTTGTACGAACTGTACTGTCAGGGCGGACTTTCCCACGCCTCCACTACCTAATACAACTATTTTGTATTCACGCATTATTAACTATTTTGTATCAAGTGAAAAGATCAACAAAAATCAAAGATTAAATTGCTAAGAAGCACATTAACTAGTAAGTTATTGCAAAAAAACCCTGAACAAGTCAATCCGCCATGACACCGTTAGCAGGGCGATGGCTCGGCTCACTGTGTTGGTATTGCCATAAATTAATTTTATATGATACACTTAACTGATGTTAAAAGCTAGAGGGAAGTTGTTTTTTTCATCTAGTGGCTATTTATGGTTAATGACGTTATTATTTAAAATCATTCATGATCAGTGCTGGAAACGCTGTTCGTATTTAAAGCGAATAGAAAAACTAGTTAGTCCATGAAAATAAATTACGGTTAATTCAATTGGGTTGGGAATGGGATGTGTGCATTTACAGCCTTTAATAGAATTTAATTGAAAGGATGCATCAAATTGGGTAATTAATTCTGTTTGCATTTTATTAACTGCAGGTTTCCAATGATTTGAATATAACGACGAATATTTTGTTAATTTTATTCTTATACCTTTTATAGTTGCTAAATATTTAATAAAGATTTTGCCAAAGAAGTTAACAAGAACTAATATCTTTGACATGATCACATGATTATTTTTCATGTACAGATAGATTTATAAAATTAAAATAAGTTTTAGGTTTGTTTTATTGAGGAGTTAAAATATTAAATACATTAATAAGAAAAAACCGTATGAACATACATATGAAAACCGGTGCTATTTTACTTTTTCTAAATAAAAATTACTAAAATGTCAACATTTTATTTCGCCGGAATTTTAAGAGGATTTTAATATGCTTGCCACACTCTTCCTAACAGAAAAATGCAATATAATAATATATTATCCCAGGTTAGCAGTGAACTGGTAGTTTGGTCAAGTGGAGAATAATTTAGTAGTAATTAGGTACTTTAGTCGAGTCGATTTTTTTATTTGTTGAAGGTAGCGTCGCCCACCGCACAGCACTACTTTACTGATTCAGATCGGACACTGTAGCTTTGGTCGAGTTTCTTTGTTGCGGCATTAATCGATTGGCGGAAGCGGATAAGTTACTTAGATATAAAAATATTCTTTTGGATGTTCCAACGTTAGTAGATAGTTTAGATGAGTTCACTTTGATTCATTGCTTCAATTGATTTCGTAAAAATAGTTTTTTCATTTCTTTATGAGATTGCTTGATAGTGGTAAGTTGTGGTAAGTATTTTAACTACTAAAATTTCCATCTACATAGTACTTATTTTCAGACATAGATGTCAGAGAAAGCGACGTTTCAAGGCATGAAATAAAACGAACTATATAGCCTCCCACATGTTTCATTTATAATCTACTCTTTCAGCCGTGTCGTTCTTTCATTCGTGTTTTGCTGTTCATTGTGTTTCAGTTACGATGTCAAATCATTGAACTTGATATTATTTTAACAATAGATTAAAACTGTTATGTTACAATCCCCAAATCTTGCCTCAAAGTTACAAATGTTTGCAGACTCTGTTCAGATCAAACTCAATTTGGCCTAGGACATATGTGTAGGATTTAAGGTAAAAAGATAGATATCTGTTATAAATATTAGTTTAAAAAATTGTGCAATACACCGTCGTCTTCTTGTGTTGATATCTAGATAGTATATGCAAATTTATTTTTAAAAAGGCTAAGCTATTTCGTGAGGAAATGAAGAACTGCATTAAGGAGGATGTGGAGTAGTAGAGGAGAGTGGAAGAAAAAAAAAATCACTGCACTGACCCCAAGGAAAATGGGTAAGATAAATCATCATCTTACCTAATTTCCTTTGGGGTCAAAAAATCATCGTATTTTTAAGAATGTTTATTATGTTTATTCTTATTTCTTTTTTTATGTTTTCGTCCCTATTGCACACGTGACAAACTAACAACCTACCTGTATCGAAATAGACACAGGTACTATTTTACTGGAATTTGGAAGAAAACACTGTTAGTACAGAGAAAACTTTTTGAGTCACAATTTAGTTTCAATAAATCTAAAACTACTTATAGCAAATAAAAATTACTGATCTTTACAACAAGCAAGCGCGTTCAGGTAGTGGGATAAACTCTCCGTGGATGTACACAACAAAATAAATACAGTTGACTCTTTACAATCCAACATGTCTATGATACTATATCTATCGTCAGATAAATCTCAAAATTCGACGAAGTACAGCAAAAAGCATGTTAAATTATCACGGTTGTACAACAAAAAAAGAAAAATATTTGCCTTGTGTGCTTCAATTGTGTAACTTGGAGTTTAAGACATCATTTAATACTTTACCTGTATAATATATAAGTAAAATATGTGTTTTACCTACTGTATTATATCATTGAGAAATAGCAATAGCGTTAAGGAGTTAGTCGTACTGATTGAAGTACTTATTCACACTACGGTGAATATTTAATCGAGTTACATCAGCTATACACTGTGCAATATCATTACGTCTTGCTGCTGCATTCTCAGCTCTCAATTTGTCCAAAGTCATCCTAACACGTTTGCCTAGATCCTTGCTTACTAGATTTAAAAGGTATATAGCTTTCTTTTCCACATCCCAGGGAACCTGCGTTAGTGTATTGGCCAAATAATTGGCTATTCTTTGTCTGTGCGCATCACTTTCTACAATTTCATTGTAAAATTCTGCCGCTGTTTGCAAATCAGCACCGATTCCTTGATACACTAACAAATTTTTTAATGGTCTATCCTCATCCACAAAAGGCATAGGCCCATTAAATGAATTTGGATAATAATTCGGAGCACCATTCATATTGTCCCATAGAGGTGGCTTACCATCGCGACTATAGAATTTATCATACAGTGGAGCATTTACTATAATATTATCGAAATTTACCCCCAAGCGATAATGCTGAGCATCCACGTAGAAAACTTTCCGAGCTCTGTATAAAGAATCAACCGGTCCCAATATACCAGGGACTAAGTTATCAGGACTGAACGCAACTTGTTCAATGTCACTAAAATGATTATTAACGCGGTGATTCAAAACTAAGCGTCCAATTGATACTGTACGGTAGGTACCACGTTTCCACAATCTCGTAACATCAAACGGATCATAATTAACTGTCATTAAATCTTCTTCTGTTAAAATATCCATATCTACCTTCCAGGATGGATAGTTTTTTTCAGCAATCGCATTATATAAATCTCTATTAAAGTAATCAGCATCTTCGGTTACGATTGCTTTAGCGCGAGCGTCAGTCAGATTTTGTAATCCTGTTTCTGTTCTGAAGTTAAACTTCACAAATGATTTTTTTCCATATTTGTTATAAATTATGTACACGTGAATTGGGTAACTATTCATTTTTCTATATCCATCGGGCAGACCAAAATCTGATGCCATCCACATCAACGCATTTAATATATGTGGCCTCGAAGTCGTAAGATCCCACCTGGCCGTGAAGTCGAACATTTCAGTTCGCGGATTTCTTTTAAAAGCGTGTAGAAGATGAGGGAACATGATTGGGTCTTTATGGAAATAGACAGGTAGGTTTATGTTTACAAAATCTAAATTTCCTTCTCTGGTATACATCTTTACAGACATTCCTTTTAACTCCCTGACCAGATCTGGCCCACCGAGGTTTTGAAATGAACTGGAGAATCGTGCAGTAACTGGTGTCCTTTTACCAATTTCATTGAACACATCAGATTTGATATATTTTGAAACGTCGTGGGTCACTTCAAAATATCCAAAAGCACCACTGCCTTTTGCAAACATGATACGCTCTGGAATCCTTTCTCTGGTATTATGAGAAGTAAGTCTGAAATGGTTTCTATGTATAAACAAATCAGTATTCATTGCTTGTGTGTCTCTGACGTCCAGTGGTTCTCCGCTTAGTTTCGTCCATACTCCAATCGGCATCTGAAAAAAGGCATATTTATTTATACAGGTTACAGAAGGATTTGGTTAAGTTTTGGGACCACGATGTTTATTCGAAACATAGTAGATTTATCTGGAAAAGAAATTTTTGTAAATGTGAGAGCTTAATAAGTAATTTTCAAAATAAGTTTGCAGTTCTTAAAATCACGAACTTTTAGAGAAGTTGAGCAGCATTCTCAAGCACATATGGGCTGGCTTAACCAGAGTGATACAACATCCTCACAGAAAACCGCCGTCTTCTATGAAAATTATTTCGTTGTTTTTCACCGACTGAATAGTTTGTATATTTTTAAATTTTCGAAAGGAAGGGACTAGGCTTTGGTAATGCGAGGATGTCCGTGTGTTGACGGATTAAGAATACGGAGTGACACTACCCCTATTAATCCCATGGGTATTGTAAGTACCAAGTAAAGGAGCAAACTTTGCAGGAAAACAGCAAGAGAAAGAAAAGTTGGAACAAACCATAATTTCCGTCTGGCCATCGTGGTATAGTAGGCCAAAATCTCCTTTCTAAGAAGACGCCTATATCCAGCAGTGGACTATTAAAGGCTGATGATGATGATGATGCGACGTTGGTGGAAATGGGAACACCTAAACACTCCGAAATATCAATTCTGAATTTCGACGTTCCGATTATCAAAAGCACGAATTTCATAGTACCTAGGAACTATAATCTAATATTAAAATTCACGAAATTTATTTTATCGAAAGTTGTAAATGCGATTTGTTTGTTAGCCGATTTTTAAATGTTCGAAGAATCAAATGCTCGATGGGTTCTCAGTTCGAAAAACGATATGCCGATTGTCAATACTTCGAATAAATTGCTAAAATTATTATTCTAATTCAGTTAGTATACCATTCAACGTTTAATGTAATTCTTTGGGTTAGGTTAAAAGAGTGGCGATTAACGCCAGATACTTTCTGTTATTGGTGAATCGTTTGGGTGTGATCATTAAAGATCCGGATCCAGATCCGCTCTATTGTTGCTGACTGGTGAATTTTAGATGTTTCGAATTTTCATGAAGTCGTACTTTTTGTTATTCGATCTATTGAAACTCGGTGTTTTGAGCATAGTAATTATAAACGTAAGGAATATTGAATCTTTTTAATTATAAAATTTTTATGAATGATAAATCGTGGTTTTTATATTCGGATTTTAAAACCACACGGAATTATGCAAATCGGTATTTTGAAATTCGTATTTTTGACTGATGGAATAAAGTTATTCGTATTTCTGTAGTGTACCCGGTGAAAATATCGATTGGTAATTACATACCGTTAAACATGGTTAAACATGTTTATTTTAAATTTAAACTCTCACTGTTGTCGCGACTTCTGTATATCAGAATGAATGGCAGTACATCATGAAAAAATCAAGTTTGAAAATCCATGAAACTGAAGATGATGATGATTTGACGCACAGTAATTTGTTTAGAAATTACGTCTGAGCAACCAGTAACTTCAAAATACCATTTTGGTCCCTAAGTCCCTACCCCATCAGACCTACTGCCCAGAGAAGCAGTATACATGCGAAATGAAATAACAGTTCAAAAAGCCGCCATTTCTATCCGTTTCATCCTTTCCCTGTAGTCGTATGTTAGAAAGATTCCAGGGGCAAGAAGCAGGCAGGCCGGGGTGGCGGCGAGCGCGTTGCGAAGCGCGCTCGCCTCTAGGGAGCACAGGGAACATGGGGTTCCCACACGGGGGGGTCGTCTACTCGTCTGTAGATGACCCGAGGTATGTCGGGGCACCAGGGACTTCCTTTCTAGGGTATACCTGGTTCCCCGGCTATTAGTACCCGAGACGGCGTGCGGTTTTAGTCGGTTCGAGTCCGACATGCCACCGACAGGTGGTATCCGAGGGGATTTCCGCACGGAAAAAAAAAAAAAGGGGCAAGAAGCAGATCTGCAGTTCGTTAATTTTGAGCTCTTAAAGGAAAAGCGAGGCAGCCAGTAGTATTCAACTCAACAGAATATTTCCAAGAAGCGGTATTGTCTCACCTACAGAAAAAAAACGCCTAGATTGAGCATCAAGGATGATACTTGTGGTGTACTTTTCTAGCTGCGTCTTCATTTTATGCGCCTAAAAATTAGGAAGGTAATGAAAAATATTTTCTTAAATAAGAAGTTATTTCTTTAGTCTACATTACAAAGAAGGTTGTTTATCAGCAGTTTGAGTAGGATATGAAGACAAATTTAACTAATGCCCTACTATGATAATGCATCAACTAATATTTAGGTATAGTAAATCCTGCTTCTAACCCTTTCCTCCATAAATAACCATAAATAACTAACAATAGATGTAACAATACAATAGTTTGAAACGAGGATGGGATTTTCCTAACGGATAGATTTACACAATTGATGGCCATATTGGGTATTATTAAATGTAATTTTGCAGAGCCAAAGGGGTTGAGAACGTTTCAAAAGTTTTACTAATGATAAAAACGTATTTGATCTATTTGACTTAATCGATATTCTGGTGGTTAGCCGCCGGTCTTTAATCATCATCATCATTGTCATTTTCATGCTCTTTGCCCAATTTTTTGTGGTCGGACAAAGGAAAATCTGACTGCACGGATAGCTTAGTGGTTTAAGCAGTCGCCACGCCGCTTAATACTACGCTGAGTGTTGTGGGTCCGATCCCCAAATGGGACTACACGTTGTGTGATCCACAAATTGTTGTTCTGAATCTGGGTGTTCTTTGTGTCCGTTTCATGTATGTTTGTAAAGTCCCCCGTGACACAGCATATATTCCTAATGCGGGAGTTGTCATTATTAAATTTAAAAAAAATCGTGATTAGGAAAACGGATATGGCACATCAAGAGTTGGGGTAGTCAAGACACAAAAATCATACAAGCACATGTACATCGTGCATTTATGTTCGTGAATAAAATAACCTGATTAGTATTTTGATGTATGTATAAAACTCGTTGATTCTCGTTTTTTATTAAAAAATGTATTTTTTATTAAAGTATTTAATAAAAAATGTAGGTGATTCTAAACTTTCTGATGATAATACCATTGTGCAATGGAAGACGTCTTTCAAAAATAATGTTGATAGCCCATGTTTAATGGTGTTGCCATCATTATTCAATCAGTAATGGAAGACATTTATATTGATTGCGCGTTGCTGCAGAGTTTCAAGTGGTTTGTGCAGTTGGTATTGTGAAGTTAATTACAATTTTGAAATAATTACTGGTGTATCCTACATCAGTAAAAGTATGTTGCTTTTTTTTATGTTAGACGGGCAGACGAGCAGACGGGGTCACCTGATGGAAAGTGACCATCGCCGCTTATGAACGTCTGCAACTCAGAAGTCAGTTTACGGTTTGAAGGTCGTATCGGTCCGGAAATATCGCAGACGATAACCCGTTCCACAGATTGGTTGTGCGGGGCAAAAAGTGTCTCGAAAAGCGCACAGTAGTGGAGCGCCAACTATCCAGGTAATGAGGATGAAAATTTTGCCGTGTGGAACGAACTCGGAAAGTTGCGGCTGGTATTACTTCGAAAAATTCCTCGGAGCACTCTCCATGATATATGCGATAGAGAATGCAGAGTGAAGCCACATCTCTACGTAACGCCAAGGGATCGAGCCGATCGGAGATGTTTAGGCTATCGACGATTCGAGTCGCCCTTCGTTGGATGCGGTCCAGAGGAAAAAGCTGGTACTGAGGTGCCCCTGCATAGAGATGTGAACAGTATTCCATATGCGGGCGGACTTGTGCTTATAGAGCTGAAGACTGTGGGCCAGATTGAAATACTGCCTCGATCTGTTCAGCACACCGAGCTTCTTCGAGGATAATTTGACCTTACCCTCTAAGTGACCCCAAAACTGGACTCCGCACGATATGTCGATGCCTAGGATTCCGATGTTGGCTGAGACAGTTAGGGAGGTGTTCTTATACTGAGGTGATACGACAAATGGTATCTTTTTTGCGCTGAACGCACAGACCTGTACCTTATTTTAATAATAATACCTTCACATTTCACACACGGATCCCAAACAAGGCGGAGCCCGTATTATTGTAACCAGACTTTTACTTATATATTCAAAAGTACGTATGTACGTTATGTATGTTATAGATAAATTACACATAGACAAAAATAAAATGGTCATACTTTTTACAAAATTATTTGTCCTGGGTGGGAATCGGATCAACGATCTCTAGGTTAGACGCTTGATTCATAATCCGACGGTGTCACAACTTACCGGGTGCTGTTGTCTAAACTCAGGCAGCTGTTGTGATGCAGGATCTGGTTCAGTCCCATTGTGGTATCGGTAACCGCTGACGTGGATCAACACGGAGCATAAACCGACGTACGTAGCAAGCGTAACCATCTTGCACTATTAATTGTTTTATGATTTCACTATTTTTATACAAACATACATCTGAGGAAGTGCGTGCTGTTAATATGTACTACTGTGATGAAATGATTGCAGACAAGTGCGATATGATGTAATGATTGTTGTATAAATTAACATAATTATTCAAGTGCATTAATATAACGGGTCTATTACTGCTTTTTTTGTAATATGGGTTAAACGAGCTAGTAGGTCACCTGATGGTAAGTGATTATCGTCGTTCATGGATACCAGCAAGTCAAGAATTACGACAGTGTTGCCAGCCTCTGAGGTGGGAATACGCTTTTATCTTGAAGGTCGTATCGGTCCAGAATTCCGCAGGAGACATTTTTTTTATGGAAGAGGTGGCAAACGAGAAGGCGGGTCACCTGATGGTAGCCAGTACCGCCGCATGTAGTTCAGGAGTCATAATAAGACGTTTAAGGAAGGAGTACGCTGTTTTTGTTAGGTTTTAACGAAAGTTCTGTTCTAAAACAGATTTCCAATAAAGAACGAGTCACACTTATCTGAGAGGATTGAAATAATCTGTTTCTCTAGAAGTAGTAAAGAATATGTGAAAAATTAAGAAAATACTAAAACATCAATTTGGTTGATTGCACAAAAAGTTAACCAATTACCTACAATAAATGGTATACTTCCATTTGCTGTCTGTCACCAGAGTACACCCCTTCAGAATTAGGGAAGGGGGACTTTGGTGGTGGAGAAACAGTTATTTAAGTACATACGACCCCCTTGGGATTTATCCACTAAATCATGATCTGCAGTGTGCTGATTCTAACCAGTACAGTACAGAAGCTTTCACACTTAAGACCACTATGATGGTCCCATAACAAACTTTAGTTTTACATGCAATAAATAAAGTGAAATCGACAAATACGATGGTTAAGCAATAATTATACTGAGGGAAAAAAACATACAAATATACCGTACATAATTATTTTCTAATTAACCAATTCGTAAATTTAAATATAATATGAATTGCTATCATGTTAATGATTCAATCAATCAATAAATTAGCTTATTGCAGCTTTTTTGCTGCTTGTAACGGCTCTCTCCCAGCCATAATATCGTAGACATCATTTTTAAGTAGATTTTATAAGTAGATTAGGATCAGACACGGCAATGAATATATATTAGTATTTTTTCTTGTTTTCTTATACAATTCCACGACTTTACCGCCCTCTATACGACTTTACCTATACCTAGTAAGTTTTACGTACCTAACAATTTAAAGGACCAAGCAGTTCAGATAAAGCTCGATAGATGATGTTACTAGTAGTTTCAATTTTTAATCGTTTTCTAGACGAATTATAATAAAAAATACACAAACAATCAAAATGATAACTTTTCATAGAACTGAATAGACTTTTTTTTAACAGAATCTGAATCCGGCAAGATTGCATGTTAGCATTAATTAGTAATTTTTTTAACTTAACCTATTTAAATTTAAAAAAAGATTGCATGGACTTTGTGGAATCGTCTGCATATATGAATACGGCTAAGTTGCTGACTGAGAACTGATGATCATAACCTATCAACATGATTATTATAATAATAAAGCTTTATTGGAAACTAGAACAAAGGAAACAGTAACATTTTATGCGAAAGTGTCTACATTAGTTAAAAGAACTGTGTCGCAGACATTAACGCCACCTCCGGCCTGGGGCCGTCAGAGTTCCACTAATAACCGTATAAAATTAACAAAATAAAACTAAACCAAATTAGATCATAAATTGTTAGTAAGTCTGTGTGTGTGTGTGTGTGTGCGTGTGTGTATGTGTGTGTGTTTGTGTGTGTGTGTGTTACTGAGAGGGCGGAGAGTTTTGGAGGAAATTTATTTTTGCAATTATGTGGCTCAAGCTCAAGGCCATAAGCTCAAGTTCTTCATAGTTCAGGGTGTGCAGCCATTCATTTGTAACTAACTTGCAAGTCCTAAGCGTAACTGGATTGACATTCAGTATTCTATTTACTCGGTTGTATATAACAGGGCTAATAAAATGATATTGACGCTTAAGGATCTCAAACCTGGTCACCTCAATATGGCACACCCTATCCGACCTCCGTGCCTGGGAAATAGATACCGCCTCAAATGGCAATTCTGCATGCTTGCGCAGTATGGTGGTCAGCAAGAATGAGTGTCTGACTGTAGGGAGTTTACATAGGTCATAGAGCTCCTTGGTTGGGAAACGAATAGGCTTACCTGTCATAACTTTCAGCACAGCCCGCTGCGACCGTTCCAAAGGCAGCATTAAGGATTTTACTGAGCCACCCCATGCTGTAACACAGTAGGTCAACATAGAGTGAGCGAGAGCAAAATAAACCATTTTCACACCATCAATGTTTGACACCACCAATAATCTAATTTGCTCCTTCCAGGTCAACATACTATCCACGTACACCCCAAGGTGTTTGATAAAATCTGTGCGTTTAATAGCAATACAATTACAGTTTTGAGTAGTAGAACACAGGTGGGGGCACTTAGGGACACGGGGGGGGGGGGGGGTCGTCTACCTGTTGTTGTAGATGGCACCAGGGACTTCCTTTCTAGGGTATACCTGGTTCCCCGGCTATTAGTACGCGAGACGGCGTGCGGTTTTAGTCGGTTCGAGTCCGACATGCCACCGATAGGTGGTACCCGAGGAGATTTCCGCACGGAAAAAAAAAGGTAAGCACTTAGGGAAAAAGAAGAGGGCGGCTGAGATGCAATTCTTGGAGAAAAAGTGATGAATTTCGTTTTTTCTAAGTTGAGTGTAGTAGGTACTTTAAATATGTACACTGTAATCGATGTTTAATTGTTTTCTATGAACAATTATTGGTATTGAATAATTTGATGTTGAATTTTTACTCATAGATTGAATATCAAAGGAGTGGCACATGACTGTCGCGAAAAATGTTATGTTAGAGTAATTAAATTACAGTGTCTGATTCTATCATTGTTGTTGTCCTCATTTCGGCAGTCATCGAGTATTCGTGTATCACGCAAGCTTTCTATTATAAATATTTCAAGTGAAACGCCCTGTGTTATTAAAACTTACAGCCATGTTTGGCTTTTCTTTCTTTAAACATACTTGTAGAGGTGTAAGAAATCTTGATATTTATTATTTGACAGCTAAGGTCAATATCAGAGAACTGTGTTTTTTTTTTATCGTGTTCAAGCTAAAAGCCGCGCTGTCCACCGGACAGCTAATAGTGAAGCGTCTGGCGAAACATCCAACAGACTAAAACCTCACGGTCTTGTTACATAATAAGTCACTAAGAAGGGAAGAAGATATCTTAAATGAGAACGGCTTAAGTCTTCTAAGTCTTATAAAATCTTCAAGACAGCTCTAGGTGTAGTCCCACGATAAAAATAAAAATTAAATAACATTATAGTGTTGGGTGTGCAAATAATCTTATACTCGTATATAAAATTCTCGCGTCACAATGTTAGTTACCATACTCCTCCGAAACGGCTGGACCGATTTTTATGAAATTTTTTGTGCACATCGGGTAGGTCTGAGAATCGGCTAACATCTATTTTTCATACCCTTAAATGGCAAGGGTGACCCACCCCCTATTTTTTTTTTAATATAGCCTAGAAATAATGTATATGGCAAAACAACGTTTGCCAGGTCAGCTAGTTATATGTAAAAAAATGCTTTCTTTTTATTGTAACCCATTATGACCTGAATTATTTTAGGGTCTTAGAATTTGATATTTTTTTGGTATATCGTTGTAAAAGGTACCTTTAGTTATTTTGATTATTAAAAGTCGAATTGATTTATTACTATTATAAAAAACGAAGGCTGCCGTACGGCACCGCTTGGCTAATCCACAGGCTTTACATCCTTTTACTAGGTATGTATTTACTTAAGATTAGCTACCATTAGCATGCAATGAGTTTTGAGTTCTAACCGATATTATATATGGCATTATTGTTAGCTCCAATCTGACCTAAGACCCAGGGAATAAATAGAAGGAACAGTTTAAAAAGCCAAGGGTAAGGAGTTGGCACAAGTAAATAAAATAAGATTTTGTTCAGTGAGTTTCAATCACACCATCAATAAATCAAAGTATCTTTCCTATTGTGTTGTTATGAAAAATGTAACTCATTTATTTTGTAAATATTTTTGTTGGATAGTAAAATCTTTGAAATTTTTATATTTAAGACAAACGATCTATATATATTTTACGATGGTGAAGCAGTAAATAATTTTAGTAGGCTATGAAACCGAGGGAAATACAATAAATTTTTCATGGGAGTAGATTAAGAGGATTTAAAATACAACGGTTTCAAAGTTATTAAAAACTCTGTCGTGTCTTTCATGTATGTTTTTTATCGAGTGAATATTCAATAATAACTTTGGTTGGTCTGCGGAACTCCTCCTTCCTGATTCACGCAGAGAAACTCCGAGCAATGCCCTCTCCATTGCTCTTTGGGTGACTTTGAGCCTTCTTGTAAAATCCATTGTGAGCGACCAAGTCGCTGTGCCACAAGCCATCACTGGCAACAGACACTGGTCAAGTACTTTCGTTTTGAGACACTAGGAAGCCGTTGGATGCGGGCAGCATAGGACAGGTTGTTGGGGAGAACCTTGGGGAGGCCTATGTCTAGCACTGAACGTCTTTCGGCCGAGATGAAGCTGATGATGATTTAAAAATAACCAACTTTGTAAAAAACTTTATAAAAAACGGATTGAGAATACAGAGTGTTACAACCTCTATTCATCCCGTGGGAGTCGTAAGAGACGACTAAGGGAGCAAACTCTGCAGGACAATAAGATTGCCAAAAGGAAGAAAACTTGAAACAAACCCTAAACGAACTCGTCTGGCCAGCGTGGTATAGTAGGCCAAAACCTCCATTGTAAGGAAAGGCCTATGTCCAGCAGTGGACTGTTAGGGGCTGTTGATGATGAAAAGACAACTCTTGCATTCTGTGTCACGGGGGACTTTACAAAGATTCATGAAACGAACACAAAGACCACCCAGACTCAGAA